ACTGAAGAGATAAAATAGTCTTTTCAGAGGAAGATAAACAAAAAAAATTCTAATTCAGAAAAAGATGAAACAAATATAAACTTATCATAACTGTGAATGTGAATGGATTCATTAAACCAGTAAAACTAATGAGAATGAAAGATTAGATAAAAAGAGTGAAATCCCACAACTGTTGCTAACAAGAAATACACCTAAAAAGCAAAGACATACTTAGAATGAGAATGAAGAGGTGGAAGAAACATCAAATGAATTTTAAAAAAAAAACAATCATGCTATCACAAAACAAAAGCAAGAATTCACAACATGATAAGAAATAAACAAGAAAACTACATTAGGTTGAAATGAACCATAAACAACAAACTAACATATATTTTAAGGCTCCAAAGCCTTAGCAATGAAATTCATAAAGGAATAATTAGCTGAATTAAAAGAAGACGTAGGCAGTAATGCAATATATTAGATGTCAATGTCTCTCAGTTCTAGATAATCTAACACAAAACATTTTTTTTCAATAGAATTGGTGAACCAAAAAAGACTTTTGACATCTTACTAATGGGACTGCTAAATAATATACTTATTTCTCAGAACCACATGGAACTGCAAAGAAGTGAAAAAGGGCAGAAGGAATAAACACATCCTCTAGAGACCATAAGGCAACAAAAAGTACAACCAGTTTTGAGGGAGCACTATTAAAAGAGAGATCCAAATGGAGACTTAACAAAGCAATCTTAAAAATGAGTTCAAAGAACAAATTGCAGAAACAATAATTATGAGAAAGAAAATTGTAACAATGAAATAATATGCCAAAATTTCTAGGATTCCACTAAAGCAGTCCTTAGGGAGGAAATTATAACCCTAAAAACATGTTAACCCAATAGAAAAAGAAAGGACTAATTTACTGATACACATCTTTTGAAATTAGCCATAAATAAACAAACCAAAATATTATAATTTAGAGGAGATATTATAAGATATTTGAGGATATATTTTAAGTTATTATAACTTAGAGGAGAAATGGGCAAGCTGAAAAATATTACGTACTAAAAGTGAAACTAAAAGCTGGCTATTTGAAGAGACTAACAAAATTCAAAAACTTGATTAAAAGGGCAAAACATCAAGTCTATAAAATAGCAAATAATGAATGTGAAATCATTACCAAAAAAATAGAAGAAATGCAAAGAATTATCAGGACCTTCTATGTATGAATATTAACAAACCTAAGAACACAAAAGAGACAGGAATACCTTCCCAAATATAAAATATTCAAACTAACTGAAGAGACCAGACAGACATTTTAAATAATCCAATATCAGCAAAAGAAATTGAACTAGCTACAAAGAACTACCACATTTTTTAAAAAATACTCTGGATCCCAGCAGATTCAGAGATGAATGCTATCAAAATTTTAAAGAACAATACCACACAAATTATTGTCAAAAACTGAGAAAGCACACTACTAGATTTCTCTTATGAGCCAAACATAGTCCTAATACCTAAACCAGGGAAGGATAAACCACAGAAGGAAAACTATGGGCCAATATCATTAATAACTATTGGTTCAAAAACTCTAACTAAAATCTTGTCAAACAGTCTACAGAAATTCACTAAGAAATCTTTCATTTTGACCAAGTTGGACTTATAGCAGGATTGAAAGGGTGATTCAACATTGCAGGAGGGATCAACATAATTTATCATCTTTAAAACATCCAAAACTATAGAATTCCTTCAACAGATACAGAAAAAGCCTTTGACAAAGGAAAACAAAAAACCTACAAAGCATAGGCACAAAGGAGTTTTAACAATAAAGTAAAGTAAGAATGTTCATTCTCTCTTCTGCTATTTGATATTGCTCTAAAAATACTAACAGGAGCAATAAGACAAAAGGAAGAAATTAAAGGTGTAAAGACAGTCAAAGAAAGGATAAAAGTATAGCTATTTTGTTGATGATTTCATGGTTTTCCTAAATTAAAAAGAAAAATACTAGGGAAGCAGCAAAGATACTACTTGAGACAATAGTTTCAGCAAAACTTCAGATTACAAAATAAATCCACAAAAATTCAATGTTTCTACATAATAACAGAATGTAAGAGCCATAGTAGAAAGGGAAATTCCATTCAAAATAACCATAAAATGCATAAAATATCTAGGGATCAACCTTGCTAAACACACAAAAGACTTGAATAGTTCCAATTACAAAATGATCTTTAAAGAAATCAAGAACTTAAATAGGTGGAGGAAAACATTCAGTGCTCACAGAAGTGCTACTTAAGTTAATGTACAGTTTTAATACTATACCAATCAAACTATCCAAAGTATGCTTTACAGAACTTGATAAAATAATAACAAAAATCATTTGGAGAAACCAAAGATCTATAATATCATTGGAAATAATTCTTAAAGGGTAGAAAGGAAGAGGAAATAACACTTTCCAGACCTCAAACTATATTATAAATCCATAGTCATATACACAATGCAATATATGTTACTTGTCTGTCCATCTTGTATACCAAATCCTTGTCTGAGAAATTTAATTCAAAGATTTTTTTCCCTATTAATCTGTTTCCCTTCTTATTTTAGATGCATTATTTTTGTTTGTGCAAAAGTTTTTCAATTTCAAAGTTATCTGTTTTGTGTTTTTTAATTGCTCCAGTCTCTTGTTTGGTTAAGAATATATCTCTTACCCAGAGCTGAGAGAAGTATGTGAACTGCTTCTTTTCTAATTCTTTTGTATGGTAAAATCTTTAATATTAAGTTTACAGTATCTATTTGGAATTGACTATGGAGTGTGGCATAAGATGTTTGTGTAAGTTTAATTTCTGCTAGTCTGCTTTCCAGTTTTTCTTTTTCTTTTTTTGGTGAGGCAATCGGGGTTTAATTTTCTGGATTTTCTTGGATTGCTTATTTTTTTTTCCTAATTTTTCCTTGCTCTCACTTACTTGATTTTTTTGGGGGGGACTAGGTAATGGGGTTAAGTGATTTACCCAGAGTTACACAGGTAGTAAGTGTCAAGTGCCTGATGTCAGATTTGAACTCAGGTCCTCCTGACTCCAGGGTCAGTGCTCTACCCACTGTGCCACCTAGCTACCCCTGCTTTCCAGTTTTTCTAGCAGTAATTAAAAACAATCAAATAGAGAATTCTCTTCTTTTTCTTTCTTTCTTTTTTTTGGGCAATTAGGATTAAGTGACTTGCTGAGGGTCACACAGCTAGTAAGTGTCAAGTGTTGGGTCTGAGGCCAAATTTGGACTCAGGTCCTGCAGACTTCAGGGCCGGTGCTCTATCCACTGCACTACCTAGCTGCTAACTAGCAAAAACTGGCTAGCTAGCAAAAAAAAAATCACCCCCAAACAAAAGAAAGCTATGTGTTTATTGGTTTTGTTGAATACTTGGTTACTGAGTTTAATTGTTTTTTGTTCTCTCATAAAATTATTTTCTGTAAAATTGATTTAATTTTATTTATAACCAGTACCAAATAGTTTTGATGTATATATATATATATATATGTACACACACACACATAAACACACATGTGAACAGACAGAAGCACAGAAGTGTATTAAAATTTATTATACATACATGTGCATATTTACACACACACACATACATGCCAAAAGTCATTCCCCAATTGATAAGTGATAGAAGGGTAGCAACAAAAAGCCTTCAAAAGAAAAATTGTAATCTACTGAAACCACATAAATTAAAGTTCCAAATTGGCTCTGCCCTGGACCTTCTTCTCCCTTTATACTGCTTCACTCCATGACTCATCAGCTCTCAAGGATTTGTTTATCATCTTTATGCTAACCATTCTCAAATCTACCTTTCCTGCCCCAGTCTCTGTGCTGACCTCCAGTCTCCCATCTCCAATTGCCTTTTAAATATCATCAAATAGTTGTCCAGTAGACATCTTATACCCAAAATGTCCAAAAAGAACTCATTATCTTTCCCCCTAAAACTTCCCCCTGTTTCTAACTTCTCTATGACTGTAGAGGGCACCACCATCCTTCCAGACCCTTAGACTCACAATGCAGGAGTCATCCTAGATTCCTCACTATCTCTCACCCCCAGTATCTAGTATGGTGCCAAGACCTGTCAATTTCACCTTTGCAGCATTTCTCAAATACACCCCCTAATCTCCTCTGACATTGCTACCACCTGAGTGCAGGCCTTCATCACCTTGTACCAGGAATATTGTAATAGCTGCTGGTAGGTCTGCTTGCCTCAAGTCTCTCTCCACTGTAATCTATCCTCCAGTCAACCACTTAAGTTATTTTCCTAAAACTCAGGTCCAGTTATGTCACTCCCCCAACACACTCAATAAATCCCAGTAGTTCCCTATCACCTCCAGAAGCAAATACAAAATCCTCTGGTATTCAAAGCCCTTTGTAACCTAGCCCCACCTCTTTTCCAGTATGCTTACACTTTAGTCCCCTGACACTTTACTCCCCTTACTCTTTGATCCAACGACACTGATTTCTTTGCTGTTCCATGAACAAGAGATTCCATGTCTGAACTCCTGGCATTTTCCCTGGTTGTCCACCATGCTGGGAATGTTCTCCCTATTCATCTCTAGTTACTACTTTCCCTGGCTTTAAGTCCCAACTAAAATCCTACCTTCTACAGGAAGTCTTTCCTTTTCTAACCTCTCTGAATTCTAATGTCTTTCTTCTATTGACTATTTCCTATTTATTCTGTGTATAGCTTATTTGAATATATTTGTTGCATGTTGTTTCCCCATTATACTGTGAGCTCTTTGAGAGCGGAGGCTGTCTTCTGCCTTTATTTGTGCTCCCAGTGCTCATTCACAATTCCTGGAACAGAATAGGTCCTCAGTGCTTGTTGGTTTGTATTGTGGAATGGTTACTTGGGAATGAGGAAGGGGAAGGACACTGAAAGAAACTCTGGTGATATGAAAAATTATTTAAAAAAAATAAAATCACCCCCAAACAAAAGAAAGCTACATATTTAATTTATTATAGACTCCAAAAGAAAAACAAGATGTATAAATAATTTCATATCCAAATCTCTTTCTGCTTTGTATACAGAAGTGTTCATTTTATTGGTGTTTGTTAAGTTCAGTGTTTACATAAATGGTGACTAAAAAACATACTGGTAAGGGAGGAATCTGGAGAGGTCTTGTGTGAGAGGATATCCTTGAGCTGAGCCTTGAAGAACTCTAAGAGACACAAACAAGGTGGGAATCCATTCCAAGAGTGGGGAAACAGTGGAGATATCCTTTTGGAAGGGCATGGAGATGGGAGAAGGACTCAGGCTTGAAGAACAGCAGACTGGCCAGTTTGTTTGGAATGTAGTGAAAGTAAAGGCTAGCAACAAATAATGAGCCTAGGAAGGCATGCTGAAGTTAGATAGTGGAGGGCTTTAAATGCCCAGCTGGGGAGGTTGGATTTGATCCTAAAGGTAAAAGGGAAACACAAAAGCTTTCTGGGCAGAAGAGCGATGGAGTCAGACCTGAGCATTAAGAAATTTCATTTCACTGCTTTCTGGAGGATGGATGGGAAAGGGGAGAGGCCAGACACAGAAACCTCACTTAGTAGGCAATTGAAATAGTTTAGGAGAGAGGTGACAAGGCCCTGAATTGGAACAGTGACAACTTAAGGAAAGAGAAGGAACTAGATGAACAATATGCTATGGTGGTAAGATTGAAAAGAATTGGCCCGTGACAGGATGAGCAGAAAGATAATTTAAGGATAACTCCCAGGTTGGGGCCCTGGGGGACCAGGAGAATATTGGTGCCTTCAATAGGAAAAAGGAGATGCTTTGTGGAGGTTTAGAGAGGAGAGAAGTTGAAAAATTCTGCTTAGAACAGTTGAGTTGGAGATGCCTGTAGGACATCCAATTGGAAATTTCCAATCAGCAACTGGTGATGTGGGCCTAGAGTTCAGGAGATAGACTAGGACCTGGACACTAGGATCTGGGTGATGATGGCAGAACCCAGAGGAGCTGAGGAGATCACCAGAAGTGTGTGTAAAGAGAAGGCCCAAACAGAACCAAGGGGTGCCCACATTTAGGAAAAGGAACATTGGTGGGGATCCATAAAGGATACTAGGAAAGAACAGACACAAAGAGAAGTTGTTGTCCGTCAACGCAGGGCAAGAGTTGCGTATGTTGTTGGATCAGGGCATGTCTTCACAGGGGCTATCTGCCGTTCATTCAGGGCTGGTGGATTCAGTTGAATATATATCAGTCCCTCGGGGTCTTCAGCCTCAGGGACCTATAGGAAAAACAAGAGGGTGAGTGATCAGCCAGTATCACTCAAAGGAAGAGAGAATGAGATAATGGGTTGGTTACTGATAAGCAGAGGAAACCAAGGGCCAGAGTATGAGTGGGAAGAGGGGAGAAGGGAGGCTGAGATCCAGGAGGAGAAAGGCTCCTCCCAGAGGAGGATGAGAATAACTCACAGGTGTTCTTGAGTGTCTGCACTTGGCCACTTGGGCATCTGAGTTGGAGAAAAGTTTCTGTCAGTTTGGGGGCTCCTGGGATCAGACCTTTCCAAGGACATGGCTGCCCTGCCCCCTGCCTGAATCACTTACATTTGGTCTCTTCTTGGGAAGCTCCAGATTTAGAAGAAAAGCAGACAAACCAAGAACAACATAGGCACCTTGGGGATCTATGAGGAGAAAATAGGATGAGGTTGAGGAGCTCTCTCCCCAACATGATCGTTATAGAAGATCCAACATCACACTGAGATGCTAGGTCAGGGTGGGGAACCTGTGGCCTTCAGACCATACGTGCCCTTCTAGGTCCTTAATTCCCCACCCCATTCTAGATCAAGGGAGCAAGGAAAGATGAGCTGAGTCTCCCTACCTTCTGGAAGTCTCTCTGTGTGAAACCACTGATGAGAGAGAAAGAGGGAGGCCAGGATCAATCACCAGCCTGTGATTTACAGCTGAAAGGAATCTTAAAAATGATTTAAGACTAGCCCTCACTTTCACAGCTGAAGAGGCTGAGGTCCCAGTGGCCCTCATACTACTTAATCCCTCAGCTCCCTTTGAGTTTCCTTTTTTCCTCCCCAAACTCACCACTCTGGGCGTGGCAATGACCAACAGAAGTCAAGAAGAGGAGGAGGAAGAGGATGGAGGCGCAGCTGAAGGCAGTGATGAGAATGGCTTTGATTTCCATGATGGGGGTGGGGAGGAAAGTAGAGACATTAGTCATGAGGTTCCACTGTCCTCTCACAAATTATTCTCCCACTCATCCTGCCACCCAACACCACCGTACTCCAACCTAAGTGCTGAGCTCAGACCCAGGGAGGTCATTGACTCCCTTCGCCATTTCAGGAAGCCCTACCTCTCTTGAGAAGACTTTTGTTCTGCTCTTCTAGAAAATAAAATGGAAAAGTTAAGATCACAGGACTGCAGATTGTGAGAGTAAATCCTCACCCCCTACCCAGCTCTCAAGCATGGTCCCAATGGCCCTGGAATTAAGGGGAAAGGCAGTGTCTTTCTTTTCTCTCTTTCTGGGTCTCTAACGGAGAAGCAAAGGGGCCAATTGCCTGGTACTGCAGAGCAATAGTTTGGAGAAGAGGGCTAAGTATAGTCACTCTCCAAACGGCCTTTCAAGCAGCCACCTCTCACCTTGTATTATAAGTTCCAGGGAATCACTGGGCAGCGCCACGACAGAGCTGTCTGTCCCAAGCAGATAGCGGCACCTATACTTTCCAGTCTGGTTGACTCTTACGTGGATCAAAGGGAATTCTGCTCCATCCTGAGTCCACTCACTGGTGCCCATAGGTGCCTCCTCTCCATCCTTGTACAGAGCAAACCTCACACCTCTCGGTGGCCCCCG